ATGGTAGCAAAAAGTTTGGCCCCTCTTCTATAAAAAAAATAAAAAAGCTTAAGGTGACCATACATTTGCTGTACTACACCAATACATTTTTATAAAATGAGGACCGCCGGACTGCACCAATACATTTTTATAAAATAGCGACCGCCGGACTGCCCCAACACATTTTTATAAAATAAGGACCGCTGGAGTGCACCAATATATTTTTAGATTACACGTCTTGGAAATATTTTATATATTACTTTACTATATACGGGTACTTCACCGTTGAGCGCGTCGTAAATCAAAAACTAAGTAAGAATCGCGGGTAAGAATACCCACTACCCCGTATCTTCCCGTGGGTGTCGTTAAAGGCGACAGAGGGAAACTGAGGCAGAAGATGGGCAGCAGCAACTTTCTGATAAGAGTAAAACAACAATAAATAAAAACTGCGGTTGCCAACGGATTCAACTCACTGACGGATTCAACTCGGCTGGGCAGCGTTCGGGAAATTACGGCAAATTTTCTCGCCAAGTGGTATACTTGGCGAGAAAATTCTAAAGTTGAAAACTAGACTGTACAACCAGTGCGTGTTGCCAGCGATGACCTATGGAACTGAGACGTGGACCCTCACTGCTGGCCGTATGAGGAAGCTCAGCGAGCTATAGAGAGGGCTATGCTCGAGGTTTCTCTGCGTGATAAACTTAGAAATGAGGATATCCGCAGTGAAAACCATAGTGACCGACATAGTCCAATGGATTAGTAAGCTGAAGTGGCAATGGGCCGGCCATATAGCTCGAAGAACCGACAACCGATGGGGAAAAAAGGTTCTCGAGTGGCGGCCTCGTACTGGCAGACGAAGTGTAGGGTGACCCCCCACTAGATGGAGTGAGGACCCAGTAAGACGTATAGGAAGTCGATGGATGCAGATGATTCAGGACCGTGCTTTGTGGCATTTCTTGTGGGAGGCCTATGATAATGATGATGATGATGATGATGACGGAATAAGTATTTGTATGGGCTACAAATAATTATTCCGGGTTACTGTCGTCACGATACAAGAGAAATACCTAGTGAAGGAGCAACTTTTAAAAAAAATACTGGATAGAGAGTAACAGCCGTGACCTCTACCTGCCTATCTATCCTTGATGAAATTAAAATTGAAAACGGTAATTTGCGTGGTAAGTTGTATCCTAACTGAGGAATAAAGTGACGACGAACGGGCACGCAGTCCAGCTGCTGGTAAAGTGGATGTTGTGACCCATATACATCTACATCCATCCCCGATTAAGAATAAAAATGCAAATGCATTGTCACCCCTGAGGACTAAGATGGAATGCCTCGTTTCCATTAAAAAAGGTCTCCGGTTTTCTACACTCACCATATGAAACACAGCAGCATGAATGTGCTATTTTACGCTGGTGTTCTGTGAGAGCGTGGTCCTTCCCCGGTCAAACCCATTCGTGCTACAACTATACTATTAATATAGCTGCAGCATGGCTCTACCACGTAAGGATCTTAGTATTTATTTTAAAAAAAAATGTAAAGCAGACCGCAAGAATGCGAATGCGCTGATTTGAAATTTAGCACTATGGTCAGTTTAACTATATAGTGTTTGCCAACGGTTAGGTTTCCAATGTTGAAGTCGTCTGAAAAAGATGTGTTCATATTGTTGGGAAACTTCACTCACAATTATTGAAGAACTAGCTGTCCCCCGTGGCTTCGCCCGCATGGAATTTACTACTATTTCATGGGTTTTAATTTATTTGCGCGGGACCCTAATTATTTTTCTAAAATAAAAGTATCCTAAGTTACTTCTTATAACATCAGCTATCTGCTAGTGAAATTCCCGTCAAAATTGGTCCAGCCGTTTCGGAGATTAGCCGAAACTATCAGACAGATAGGCAAACATTTTAAAAATTATGTTTTTTTTATTAGTACCGTATACACTTTCATATGAATTTAGTAAAAAGCTGTCATTTTAACATTACAAGCAGACACTTCAATTTTATTTATTTGTCTAGATATATTTGAAAAAATATGTTTGTACATTTAAGATAACAAATATCATATTGATTTCTTATAATATTTACACGAATACATACTTAACATTGAATAAAACTGATTTTACGGATTTTATCGCGTTCAATTTATATTAAACGCTATGAAAACCATAAAATTAGTTTAATCTATATAAATAAATAAAATTGAAGTGTTTGTTTGAAATGTCAAAATAAAAGGTTTTTACTAAATGCTTATGAAAGTATTATAATACTAGCTGTTCCCCGCCACTTCGCCCTCGTGCTATTTGGGGTTTTAATTTTTTTGCGCGGAACCCTAATTCTTTTTCCATAATAAAAGTAGCCTAAGTGAAAATCCCGTCAAAATTGGTCCAGCTATTTCGGAGATTAGCCGGAACAAACAGACAGGTGGACAGACAGACAAAAACTTTAAAAATTGTATTTTTGTTATTAGTACCGTATATACTTTCATATGCATTTAGTAAAAAACTGTAATTTTGATATTACAAACAGACACTTCAATTTAATTTATTTGTATAGATGTACGGTCTTTCTCTACATAGTATAAAACAAAGTCGCTTCCCGCCGTCTGTACGCTTAGATCTTTTAAACTACGCAACGAATTTTGATTTCGATTTTGAAAAATTGTCTGTCTATTTGTCTATCTATCTATCTATCTGTCTGTTTGAAATGGCTGGACCGATTTAGACGGGACTTTTACTGGCAGATAGCTGATGTTATGGTTATAACTTACAAAATATATATCCTTCCGCATGGTTTTCCATGAATGAAGTAATAGATGAAGTATGGATGAAGTAAGATATTTATTATTGACTAGCTGTTCCCCGCGACTTTATCTGCGTGAAATTTATTTCGACTAAATATCATGGGTTTTAATTTTTTTTTGCGCGGAACAGTAATTCTTTTTCTAAAATTAAAGTAGCCTACGTTACTCCCATAGATTACCCCCTAGGAGGTAATCTATGGTTACTTGGTTTAACCGTTATTTACTTTGTCTTCATTTAAATTTTTAATGATTTATCATATGCGGTAAAATTTAAGCAATTTAGATCGCACAGAGTGTTTTCGGTGACGTTTCCACGAGGGGTAGAAATTAACCCACTAGGCAAGTCCAACTGTGACCTAGTGGTGAACCGACCAATCAACTTCGACTAAACCAATAAACCTTAAAATCTCAAAACAAGTGCGCGTTTTGCCAGCGACGTATGGAACCGAGACATGGTCCTTTACTTTTGGACGCGTGAGAATATGTATAGTCCAAAGAGAATATAATCACTACGTTTGTAGTCGTTCCGCAAGCTATGGAGATAGGGTTACCAGATGAAAAAATTAAAAGTCCGGAGAAGTGGCCTGATTTCCATTTAAAATCCTGAGATTTTTTTACAGTTTGAGAAGAAAACCTTACTTAAAAAGGTATCTTCACATATTAAGTATGATAAAACTGTTTAAGTACCTACTTGGATAAATAAGTTTTGATTTTAATTGTGCAATTATTACCTAAGGAAAATTATTTTAAGTTTGTTTAACTTTTTATTAAAGAGATCTTTAAAATGTAAGCATATTGAAAGTTCTAAAAATCCTGAGATTTCATGAGATTTGCAAAATCCGGCCGCAATCCTGAGAAGAGTCTAAAAATCCTGAAATCTCAGAACAAATCCTGAGATATGGTAACCCTATATGGAGATGACTGTGCTCGGACTTACTTAGCATAACAAAATCCGTATTGAGGACATCTGCAGCAGAACCAAAGTTACCGACATCGTCCCATGTATCATTAGAGAATGCGCAATGGGCCGGTCATAGCTCGAAGAACCAACAACCTATTGAACAGAAAGGTTTCCGAGTGGCAGTCTCCACCGGAGCAAGGTGACCCTCCATCAAATGGAGGTGGAACGATCAGGTAAAACATGCAGGATGTTGATGTATTTGGGTGACTCAAGACCGTGACAGTTGATGGGAAAGGCTTATGTTCAACCGTGGACTGGTGACGGTATCGTCGCCAGGGACCCCGTAATAGTCATCTTGCCCATAACAAATTAGGTCTTGCCCCGTCGCTGATGAGGAATGTATATGCGGTGTGTCATTTTCGGTTATTCAACTATGTATAGCGCTATAGCGCTCAGTATCTGTACAAACACAATCTAGTGAACTAGGTTTATTCATCACAAGTCTGCCTTATTGTCATATAATATACTATCATGTAAAATAACCGTATCAGGTTCCTCAGCCAATCATCATCATTCATCAGCATTACATCCTATCAAAGTTTACTTTTAGCTTCCGCCATGAATTTACCCATGAGGCAATCCATATATCAAATTGCATTTACGTATTTTTCCAACTACCGAAATAATATTTGGCTTACTATGAGTAAAATGTTGTGATTATATTATACTCATTGATTATGGCTGTCGTTTCAAAGGGGACTATAAATAATCACTACCACAGAACACTATTACCAAAACTAAAACGAAGATTATATATTATTTGATTATTGCAAAATACGCCCTCAGAGTAACGTATTTATAAAAGTATAAGCCCATATATTATATTATTAGTCTATGGCTCTCTACCTGATATTTAACTAGGTTTCCTGTAGATGTCGTAAGATGTGGTAGAGGGAAACTGAAACAGGACATGGGCAGCAGCACCTTTCTAGAAATAATTCTTTATAATAATACTTAATACTTGTATAAAAAATTGTGTTTGTCAACCCAAGCGATTTAGTTATAGCACGTATTCCCCCTACCCATTACAAGGCAATTTGGTAGGATGTAATGATGATGATGAATCACTTCTTCAGTCAGTACTTCCTTTTATTATGATAGTACCAGTATCACAGAAAAAAATAATAAAATCAACGTAACAGAAACGTCGTACGAATGACGTTATTTACTCCAGCTTTACATTGTGTTTTTTTTGTTTGGGCAACATTGATAAAGTGTAAAAGGAGGCAAGTGGCATTGGCAACATTATTAAAAAATGTCTGACGCCAACTCGGAAAATGACGTTTTAGAACCGCCTTGCTCAAAGAAAATTAAAATCGACGAGCAAAATGAGAACGGCGTGAGCGACAGTCAATTGCAATTGAAAGACTTTATTCCAGTTAAAACTTTGAATAATAATACAAATAGGAAAACAGTTTGTGTTCAAGGTACATTTAAAGATAAAAGTGGTGTGGCTTTAGTGTTGCTCGAAAAAAATGCTTTCAAAGAAGAAGAATTGGACGGCAAAGGGTATTTTGCAGTAGATACGAAGCTGCGAACGTTTTTTCAAAACGATATTTATGGTAATTTTGAGTGTTTCCCTCGTCCTGAAATAAACGGTGAGATATTTTTACCCGTACTTTCAAAATTTCAAGGTTTAATGTTTAGTCATCCACGATATAACTTTATTACCTAGGTACCATTGTATTATTCACGTCTCAATAGCCCGAGTGACTCATTTTCTTTGTTTATTAGGTTCTATGTATAAAGAAATTCATTAATTTTATAAAAGATTTGATTACAAACTATATTCCTGCATATTTCATCACAGCTGTAGTTACAGATTAGTTATGAAATTTTAAAAAGTGAAAGTAAAGGTCAGATAATTTACACAAATTAATTGAATTCAAAGAATCTTGAACAATACTTAATTGTCTTACTTGAGCAATGAGGTATTTCCTATGTGTATTTAAGAGTTTCAAGACATTTTTTAGTTTAGTTTTAGGTAAAGGATAATCTTTGTCACTTCATTCAAAATTAAACCTAGACAAAGAGATTGAAATTCTTTGTTTTAGATATTTTTTATTGCTTTCTATTTAACATATGTTTAGATAAGATAAGTCAAGAATAACTTAAGATAAGTTTTTACAATTTCATTTATGCAATAAATTAACGTAATTATGTAATAAGAAAATGATTTAACATTTAATAATAAGTAAAGCTGACTTCAGAAAAGTGAAAATAATAAAATGTTTAGGTATGCGGGTTGGCTACTTCGTCCGGTACTTGATATTAATTATGTTTTCAGTTTAGGAGGCTTGTCAGGGTTAAGCTTGAACCCTTTACACTGTCTTTGGATTTCGGAAATGTGTTTTAAATTAATTACGATCAAAATAAATGTCATTAACTAAATATTGCATATAATGAAAGGGGTTACCCATAAAAAAGTTAATTACTTGGATCCAGACAATCCATTTGTGGCTTAAATGGGACTCATACACAACAAATTGAGTCACAGTGGAGAGCAGTCAAGAGGTTTTAAAAAAAAAAAACAAAATTATAACAATTCACATTATATTGTTTCATTTACCACTATCACAGCAGAGTTTAGGGCAACCTGACTTTGTAGATAAGATAGGTCAAATCAATCAGGACGCCCCAACTCCACATAGTCTTGTGTGCCCTACCCCTAGAGTGTTTTAGTAAAGCTGTAGGCATGGAGGGAGAGCAGCCCCTGCCTGCTGTAGGAAATCACAGGCTCACCTCACACAGGTGTATGCGATTTGCTACAGCGGGCAGGGGCTGCACATCCCGCAGCGCCAAAGCCGTTGCAATATTAACTGAGTCAATATTCCTGTGTAAAAAAGTGAGGTTATGATTTTACAAAAAAAATTATTACTCAAACTATACATTTCCGCAGGGGGGGTCTTCCCATGAAGTCTCCCCACTCCCCTCCTATCCCAGTATGCGAGAACCAGATTCATTATATGCATTGCATTTTTAGTTAGTGAAATTTATTTTTATTGTAATTAATTTTAAACACATATCCAAAATCCAAAGACAGTGTAAATTGTTCAAGCTTAACCCTGACAAGCCCCCTATACTGAAAACATAATTAATATCAAGTACCGGACATCTATTGCCTTCTCCTTGTCTGCCCTACCCCTAGAGTGTTTTTGTCAGCTTTTACTTTATTAAAAGTTATATTTTTAACCCTTTTTGAGTGGTTCAAGGAATATCAACAGCCCAAGGTAACAACTTGAATGTTGTCTAAATAGATACAGTAAAAACTTCATCCCCAATCTTACAATTAAGGGTGGAGGCTTTTCTCCCAGTTAGGAACACTGTTGCAGTATATAGATTGAATAACAAAGAATTATAAAAATTATTTTGCAATTGATTAAGATATTGCAAATGAATATAGAGTGGAATAGAGAATCTAAAAAATTAAGATATAATACCTTATTTTGTTGTCTTGAAAATGAAATTGAAAATGAAGAAATAAATCCAATGCATTCAAGCACAGATTAACATATTTACACAAAAAATATGCATTTTGAAAAATCTCACATGATATTTGAGAGGAGGGGGTTGCAAAAATGTCACATTTGCCTCACGTAATATATAGCGATACACCTTATCACTCACAGTCAAAAGTATCATTTTCTAATTATACAATACAACTTTCACTGATGAGTCATTAGTTTTAAAGTGAATTTAGGCTCTAAATTTTTCTTTCTTTTTCTATTTTCTATATTTTATAAGCTTCAATAGTGAAAAATGAAAATCTTTTTCATTTTGGTAATGGATTTGTACTGTTGTACTTTTACCAGTGTCAAGTAATTATATTAAATAAATTATATTTTAAAATAGTTTATTTCAAAACTTGTTCATAATATGTCGCGCAGACCCTCGATGCATCACATTGCAAAGTTATTGGGAAATTTTGAATTGCTTTAGTGAGCTTGTGTCAGCAGACAGTCTATGTCGATAGTAATTCAAGAGGCCGCTTATGCAGACACATTATCTTGAGATTTACATCACTATCACACACAGCATTTGATTTATCATTTTCACTAATAGTTCACTTGTGCATACATTAAATACACAAATTGCACTACTTTTGCATAATTAAAATCTGTTTCAGACAATTATTTAAACAATAACACAGTAGCAAATATGTTAGTGGTCGAATTCCCGCCAAAAATCATATTTGTCAAGTTTATTATATAGTTAAAAATAGAGTATGTAATGACTGTAAATTCTAAGATTTCTCCACAATCACCATAAACTAAGGTTGTAGATAGCTTTTGGTGTTGTCTCATTGATTGTAAAAATTTTTGGTTGTAGGTATGCTGTGAAATTGATAAGAATATTTCAAATTTTTTAGGAAGTTTACCAAACCACATTTATATCACGTACTCCGACCTTTATCAATTTAACATCATAATATACTCTTACCTGGCCAATGTATACATATAATAAATCTGTAGAAAAATTGTATATTCACAATTAATGCAAAAACTACTGAACAAATTTCATGAAATCTTGTATGTAGGCAGTAAATGACAGTGTATAACATATAGGCAACTTTTTTATCTGCTTACAGAAGAGTAAAGAAAAAGTGTTACTTTTTCCTTTTTTTTAAGTTTATTATCATTATGGGTGATGATGGTTCTATTAGTCCTAAAGAGGATTTGGCTATATGTATAATAAATCTATAGAGAAGTGTGTGTGTGAAAATGAAACTCATCATGCCACCAACCAGTAAGGGCAGAATAATGTCTGCCAGGCCAGCTAGTGCTGAATAATTAAGCTAGTTACACTCCGGTTTTTTAAATTCATGCAGGTATTTAAATGTGATAACTTAAATTAAAAGTTTGAAAACCCTCCGAAACAATAAGAGCTGATGATCTTCAAATGGCTGAATAGATTTTCTTGAAACATAGCTAAGACACCTTTCAAACGAAAAAAATCTAATTATAATCGGGTCATCTGTTCAGGAGCTATGACACACTACATACAAATAACACCTCTTTGTTGTTGTTGGGGGTTAAAAATTATATTCTAATGTAAGTGTAAACATAATATCTTTTTTTTTTGTATACTATATACTAAGTACTAACTGCTCATGTAAAGCATTTCTTATAAAATATATCTTGATGTAGCCAATTTTATTTTCAGGTGTGAAAACTACGATTATCTACCCAGCTACTGAGAAGCACATAGCCAAGTTCAGTCAACAAGAAGTCCACATAATATTAGAGACACCGGAGTTGTACAACAAGTTGACACTCCCCAATATTGAGAAGGAGCAGTTTAATTTGCAGGTAAATTTTTACATTAAAAAAAATTTGCAACATTTGTTTAATATATATCAGAGGCATCTTGAGAGGCATATATGTCTGCATCATTCATCATTATGATCATTACAGTCCCTTTTCAAGTCCACTGCTGAGGACAAGCCTCTCCGGATAACTGATATAAAGGATGGTACTTAGCTACCTGCACCTATAGACTGCCTGCATGTGACAAGATTGCCACTAGCATCTTACTTCATTGTTGGTTTTTTGGGATATGTCAGTTACTCTGGTTCCACTGTGCATGTTATTGTTATAACCCCATAATTAATCCAAACCCAAACATTCAACTACAAGACTTGCCCAAGCCCTGTGAGTTTGTTCTTCTTAATAAAAGCTGAGGGTGTCCAGGTTAATTATAACATCAGGACGTCAAACATCTCTGTTCCACATGACCTTGGGCTGTAAATCACCTGCCTCCTTGAACTAGTGGTCGTAAATGCGACTGAAATCGCGATCATGACGTCACGGGTTTGAAACCCGGGTCTAGCCAAAAAAGAACAGTTATTGAGTTTTTCTGTGAAGAAATTCTTAGTAGTGGCCCGGAGTCAGGAAGTCGGCGGTGTTTTACCCCCGTGTTTCGGAAAACACGTGAAGTTGTTGGTTCTGCGCCTAATTTCTCTTCGATCGTATCGCTTTGCCGTCCTATCGGTCTATGAGAGCGAGGGAATAGAGAGTGAAAATAGTCCTTAAAATAAAATTAAAATAGCACTTAGGGACTAATCCTGTCCTGCGCAAATGGCTAATCTCCGTTAAGACTGGTCACCGTGACATTATTATTAAAGCACCCGAAATATCAAAAAAAAAGTTAAAAATAAATATTAAAAACAAGTTAAAATAAAGATTAGTGTTATTATGTTCAATATTCACGTAAATATAAGAAATCATCATTAGACTACTGTTGCTAACTTGTTTGTGGTTACTTCCATGTAACAAATGAATAAGACTTATGATTATGAACAAATGACAATGCTTCATTGACTTCTTGACCATTAATAATGTTCATTGCCTATAATTTACCTTATGTTGACTGCACTGGTGTTTATACATTTTCGGATATATTTTTCATAGATTTTTAATTCTTAATAAGTATGCGATTTTCGTCTATTTATCTTAAACAATACCATATTAAATAATTATAAATTAATATAACATCGGTATTCAGTGTTGTGTGGTTCACGCGTGTGATATACAATAACGTATCTTTTATTATAAAAAATCCGCGTTCCCTTTCGTTAGGATGGGGTAAATTTATTTTAGTCTTACATTTAGCGGGTAGTAGGCCTTTAGCACATTGTAAGTCTTAACACGTTGCCGTATTTTAAATCGTTACAACAATAGTAACGATGTTGTTGCGGTGTTCCACAGCAGCCTCGATACCTTCGAGCGAGTGGTTAAGACCTTACGTGACAGTTGACAGATCCAGAAAAGACTCTTTTAGTTGGTAAGTACATTTTAAATTACTTAATACTTTATATTGATTTACTTTTAATCGGCAGATCTCTTAACTGCAAACAAAATTGTTGTTTTTGCTATAGTAGTCGTTCAAAATGCTGAGTGGAAGTGTTAAGCGTTTAGACTGAAGAAATTTAGAGCAATCAAATGTGTGTGTACATTCTTATGTTTGTGAACTTTTTTCGTCACATATATTTCGAGAAGAAATTATGATATCATCTCAAAATCCAATTTTATTCGATACTTTTTCATTAATTCATCCAATATTAAAATATTAAATTTATTAATATTATTTATATTTTGCCTTTTTAAACTAAGACAAATCAAACTTACTACAGTCACCAAATACATAGTGAATATTGCAGACAAACCCAACATTGTAAATGTATTTACTATTTATAAGTAGCGGCACGAAAGTCTAGCGGTGACAGTTATTGCGCATAAGTCGCGCTGATTGGCTCGCGCGTATCGTTCGTACGCGCTGATTGGCTCTCCAGTCGCATTCGTGCAATTCGATTCGTGCGCGTCCACTCCACGTTTCGTTCAGCGCTAGACTTACGTGCCGCGACTTGTATGTTAATTAGCATAATGTGTACATTTCCATATAGTAAATGCATAATGTTGTGTTATTTAAAATTTACTTTGATATTATTCCTTCCCCTCAACATTTCGAACAGGTACTAAATATTAAATTAAGGTTGTTAATGCAAAATTACTATTATTTTAGAAGTAACAAGCAAATTCTTTATTTTCTGATAATAAGCTAAAATATTATAATACTTTCGTTTTCAGATCAATTGAATATGGATTCTGACGAAATAATTACTAAACAGGAAGAAACAGACGTAAAACAGTTAAATAAAGATATTGAATCATATAGGAAACAGCGCGAGAGAGCTAACGAGAGAAAGCGAAGGTTTTTGGAGAAAATGACACCAGAGCAAAAGGAACTAAAGAAAGCAAAAGATAGAGAGTATTATCACAGGAAAAAGGAACAAAATAAGAAATCCATTAAAGATTTTCCAGAAGAAAAGAAGGAAGGTCTGAGAAAAACGTGGCGAAAAAATTCGAAGAAATATAGAGACAGACAAAAGGCTTTCGTAACTGAGATCATGAGTAGGCCTCAGTCTACAGTTAACAATGGTATCCGAATACCTCCTGACATCAAAATAAAAGCAGAAAAAATAACAAAAAATGAGTGATGGAAAAACTAAACAAGTGTGTGATTTTAAAAAAAAAGGCTTTCGTAACTAAGATCATGAGTAGGCTTCGGTCTACAGTTAACAATGGTATCCGAATACCTCCTGACCTCAAAATAAAAGCAGAAAAAATAACAAAAAATGAGTGATGGAAAAAGTAAACAAGCGTGTGATTTTAAAATAAAAACCGTGAAGGATCATAGACTCTTTTAACATTTCAATAATATATCTAATATAGATAGGAATATTGGTGTATAAAATATGTCAGTGTCAGCCTATTTAAGTAAGAATGCTCGTTACATATGACAATAAAAATTATTTAAGTACATGTTGCATTAAAAGGTAGTAAAGTAAATTCGCCAAAAAAGAACACAAACACCTTAAGGGTTTTAGATTGTGGTGAGCCTTCATACCTCTTCGATATATTCTTGAATTTGTCAGTTATGCAATAATTCATCACAATTTCCTCAATACATCACTGTGCACTTGTATTCAGTACTTTAATTTTAAATTGAGCATTCTAGCCCTAAGCAACTACCGTTAAGAATCACAATTATTTTTTAGTGTGAAATAATTATCTAATATGAAATAACAATAACCAATATGTTCAGGCATGATGCAATTAAGTTAATATAATAAAGCTTTTCTATTTATTTTGGTTAGATTTACCCCTCTCAAATGTTGGTCCTTCGAGTCGGATCGCGCTCCGAATAATAAAACATTGTACTGAATTTGCCGTGTGGTATAGATGGGGATATAACCGCCTTACCAGTAATGTTACAGCCTATAAAATTCCATTGCTGAACATAGGCCTCCCCCATAGAGTGCTTCATAAGGGATTTTGCCTTAGTTCCCACGCTTGGCAGGCAGGTTTGAACCCAACTATTTTATAACTATGAGTTGTTATAATCTCCCGCCGGGCAAAGGTGTTCTGCCCGAGGAGCGGCCAACGCTCCGAGTGATAGTTCGGAGCTATTCTATATAATATACTGCTTTAACTTCGGTACTTTGTTAGCGCGATTTAGGCTTCGATGTGTTTCGCTTGTGGCGCGACGACAGCGCCGCCACATTACCGGTGATGCCCGGCGGGAGATCTCCCCTTTTCCTTCCTACGGCCTCATTATCACTCCCGAGGATTGAGATGGATTGCCTCGGTTACAGTGAAAAGGGTTTACGGTTCTCACTGCATTAAGCTGCTATTTTACGCTGGTATTCTGTGAGAGCGTTGTCCTACCATGGTCGTGCTGCAACCACAATATATCTGCAGCGTGGCTCTACCACTTAACAAATTATGTACACATCACCGACCGACAATGATTAATTGTTTAGTAATTAAAAAAATTGATTAGCTTTTCTCTTGGTAAGTTACTCTCTAGTTGTTTATCACATCGGCAATAATGCAACTTTTTAAATATATCTATATTTTTATATTATATATTTTATATATAATAAAAAGAATAAATTAATTATGATTTTAGTTGTATTTTACTTTTAAATCCAGCCTATATATTCTAAACAAGATGTAACATTCTATTTCACCCTCTCAGCGGTTGAATTTTCCAAAACCCATTCTTAGTGCGTGTCTTCGTCGAAAAAGTTCTTATATATGCCCTGATCTCCTGATGACTCACTCGTCAGTGGTATTTCGTTTATATATTATGTAATGATTATTACTCTTCCAATTAGGACAGTATTAAGTACTTTTATAAAAAAAAACATTACCTGTTAACAATGAGGGTTTATAATTTTCTGCTCACCAGATGTCGCTACTTGACACTGAGGTAGTTTTTTGTTACACAATGTCATTTAACTGAGAAGTTAGTTTTTAATAAAAGTTTATAAGTTTCTAAAGTATTATATTTATATACAAAACAATGCCTCAGTGGTTTGCTCTTTAATTTTTTGCACATTTTTATCTTTTTTTGAATTTTTCTACTTTTATGAATATCTGTGATTTGATTTATTTATTTTTAATCTTATTGATATAAAAAATATTACCAATAGTACAGAAAGAATCATTAAACTTTACATTTTCCGAACAAATTAACTTCCCTACTATGAAATCTGTCAATATCTATCTCACTTAAGTGGCGCCGCCCTGGTGGCAGAAAAAGTCGTGGATGCCCTCACTCACTGGCTCATATATGGTTGGATTTGTTCTAAATACTACGATTGTCAAGCGAAATGGAGATCGCAGTTCAAAACGTTCGTGGCACCTGTGTAGGCTTGCGCCAGTGTAAATTTTCAAAATGTGGTTTAAACGAGATCGTAAAAGGAATATGATAATATAATGTTTTCTTATATTTACGCGAAGACTACACATTAAATGAAACTATTTTTTACGGATTCTATGGCGTTTAATTTAAATTTTTAACTACCGACGTTTCGGGTGTTTGATGTCCCGATGTCATAGTTAGCCCGGCTACCTTCAGTTTTTGAATATTAATTTTTGTTCCGATCTACGCAGAATGAGCTTACAGTATCTTGAAGTCTTGCAGTGGTATGCTTGGGTTTGGATTTAATTTTAATAATTATAGAATCCCAAGCAGATAGCAGTGCCAATCCATCTACTCTGTTGAAATTAGGATGTTTTTTTAATTTCACTAGCCTCGCGAATCATCCTTGGTAGGAATCGGTGTTGCGAGGATTTGTGGTTTATCAAATCTAATGTAATGGCGGGGACGATCTTGAATATGTTCACAAACTGCAGTCTTTGCGGAACGTCGGTGCTTCAAGTCAGCTATATGTTCCTTTACGCGGGTTTTTATAGATCTTTTTGTTTGTCCTATGTAATGGCGCGTCTCCACCAAAGTTTTGTTGTCAACACAACATTTGCCAACATGTTTTGCCAACAAATGTTTCTGTCAACAAGCGTCTCCACCTAGGGAACAAATGTCGGCAACAAGCGTATTCCTTTGATGTTGCCGCCGAAAATGGAAACATGTTTTGTTGTGTTGACAACAAAACTTTGGTGGAGACGCGGCTTTAGAGACTACATTCACAATCCAGCTTGTACACTCTTGCATCTTGTAGAGGGATATGACACTTAACGGATGGTAAAAATTGACTAATCTTCTTCGGCGGCTTGAAGTATGTTTTAATGGATGCTCGCTTCTAGATGTAGCCAACCTTGTCTGTGACTCCTCTGACATAGGGTAGTACAGCAGGCACACGCTCGACAGTGGCCGGCTTCATTCGGTCACTGTGACGTAGGCGCGGGACCCGAAGCTTGTTGTCTTGCAATACTTGCTCGCCGTGCTGAAGCTCTTCATTAAGTACTCATTAATTATACCACAAATTATATAAGATTATCCGATTACACGTTTAAAATAATTGGTTTAGAACCAATATCATTACTTTGTTTGCAAAACAAAATCACTAACGTACGAACATGTACACGCACTTACGCACACATGCTTATGCATAGTATACGTACGTGAGGCAAGTACATTCACACACTTATAAGATTGAAATTTGGAATACCAAAAATCGGACGCGTTATAGCAACTGCTAAACGATAAGTTCAATATATTATATCCCATATTAAGCTAAATATTTCTTCTTTGCAGTGGGTCTATAACATTCTAGAAGGCAAGAGCGAGCAAGACAGAATAGTCCACGACAACAAGTGTGAAAAGGAGGGCTTCGTCTTGGTTCCAGATCTAAAGTGGGATGGTCTCACCAAGGAGACTTTGTATCTACTAGCGATCGTGAGGCAGAGGGGTATTAAATCCTTGAGGGATCTGAATGAGAGCCATTTACCGCTTTTGAAAAGAGTACGCGACGAGGGAAAGGTTAGTATTTTTTATTATTTCTCATTCACCATTTCTTGTAAAATATGTTTGTGTGGTCAAGCGGTTAGAGAAGTTCTACGCCGCTGGCTGGTTTGAACTCGAGCTTGAGCCAACATTTGTGCAAAAATAAATTGTTTGATTTCTAGTTTCAGTGTGTTGTATTCGTGCCCTTTAGTCTCTGCTACCTTCATTTCATTCATCCAAGATTCGATCTTTTCGTGTGAGTTGATTATCTCTTAAACACGCTTTTTAGGGTTCCGTACCCAAAGGGTACCCAACGGAACCCTATTACTAAGCCTCTGCTATCCGTCCGTCTGTATGTCAGCGGGCTGTATCTCATGATCCGTAATAGGTAGATAGTTGAAATTTTATTAAATAATAAAAATGAAAATAAATGAATAATTAAAAGGGACTCACCTAAGAAATGTGTATTATTACAATGATACAGAAACGTTCATGTGTAAGTCCGACTCGCACTAGGCCGGTTTTTCTATTCTATTGCACGTCTCATAACGCGAAGCGTTATTAGGTAGTGCTTTACTCTCGACACGTCAAGGTCATGTAATTTTTTGGTCTTAAAATGCCTCTATCATAACCATATTGCACTTATACGGTAATATGAGTAGCCGTATAAATCAATAAAACACTAATTAATTCATCTCATATTTTCTGAAAAAACATTTCATTTGCTACTTTGAAAAAGAAAAACGGTTTGAACAAAATTTTACGTGGACGTCTGGATGTTGTTTGTGGTCACGATAACTCCTGAAAAAATTAACGTATCGAGACCGGGTTTTTTTTTATTAGCTTCTGAATTACATCATCTGGTTCCCTATTTCATAGCCTAGTATGGGTAGTTTGTTAATAAAATAATTTTCAACCTTTATAAGTTATATTGCTATTAAAAATTTAAAGACGCTTTCATATATGTTTTAGCCTTTGATAGACAAATAATGTACCATATAGCCTATATCGATTTTATACATTGTGTAATCGATTTATTTTGGTAAACCTTATTATTTTTTTCCTGTAGGTGACACTACCTCTTAAAATAGTAGAGCGCTAAATTTAAAACACGTAAATAATATATTTAAAAAGTCAGGAATACAATTTATTTTTTTCATTAAAATTAAATAAAACGCTCATGAGGTGTGCACTTTTGGATATTCCAAACTATTTTTACCTACATCTGAGTAACCTAAAATTTACAAACGTTTTAGATACTGATGATACTAGGTTCATCACAGCTTATGGTCAATGCGCGTTAAGTTTTATATAAAATAATACATGAAGAGAACACTTTGGTCTCCTTTCAAAGCTTAATGCGCATATATAGGGACAGTACAGAAAACTATTTTTTAAAGTTTAAGTGTTTCAAATATATTAAACAAAATCAGACATAAATTGTGTACGTTCATACTGCCAATATCAATTGTCAAACACATAATAGTCTGTGGTCAAATAGTCGCAGAGAGATTGACGCCAAAGAATATTAAAATGTTGCCATCAAAATAATTTATAATGTGCCTTTTTGAATTTGTGTAAAAGCATTTATTTAATATTTTGTATATTAGATATCTGTGTTTTTAATAAATGTGCATTTGATAGCATAGATGATATATATAAAGCTAGCTCAATATGTAAACATAAAATTTTTATGCATAACAGTTTAATTTTGACCATTAGAGGACCACTAGTTCTTCTTATTATTTCGTAAATAATATTTATGGTCTGACACGGGTAAGGGAACAACGAAATGAAGAATATCGTTCTTTTTTTATTTATTTTTTTAATGTTTAAATTATTACAATTACAGTCTCTCACAAGTCCACTGCTAAACGTAAGCCTCTTCCAAGGTATGCCACCAAATAATATATATTATAAATCATTATTCAACTATTTAAACTTTCGATGGGATGCCGCGTCGAAGGTAAAACCCTAATGCGTAAAAAATCTACCCTAAAGATAAATTTTTTTAAACTCTATGACACTTCTACTACTACGACGAATTGAACGACACTTCATATGTTGAAATCAGTGCGTGCCAAAGAAATAGACATACGTACACACACTAGAAAAGCATTACCTTACTTCTGGGGTAACTGGGTAAAAACGTATTCTGTTTCGATCCTTACTACTTAGAATTTAGGGTTCATGAAAAAGAGAATGTTTGATCATAATACATTTTTATTTTTTCCAGAAAACAATATTCTCTAAGTACAACGTGCCTGGAAGTCAGTTACGCGTCTACCTTCACTACCAACCGTCGTTCTATCATCTCCACATACATTTCACATATCTCAGGCACGAAGCACCCGGCATCTATGCAGAGAAGTCCCACCTCCTCGACACTGTCATTGACAACATCGAAATGATGGGTTCTTATTATCAGAGAGCTACCTTACCGTTCACCATCAGAGAGATGGACTCACTTTTTAATGTTTACGAAACCAATGGTCATGTTGAGAGAATCAAGCCAAATATTGAATTGATCGATAAATAAAATTTCATAGTCCAACACGTTAAAATGTTGATTAAAAATATTTTTATGGAATTACGCTCGCGGCTGCGCAGTTGCAATGTTTACATTACAACTGGCGTGGATTTAAATAAAAACTGCAACCTCAAAATTAATATACAGTCAAATTGTATAATTCTCAATTATTATAATGATAGCGATAGTTTAAAGAGAAGTGACAGTCTCTCGTCTATAGAAAGTCTCTCGGATTGCTATTCTGAAGACGAATCGGATGATTCCTCTGTGATTCCTATCGATGAATTCTGTCACATTATTCCAAATTCTATGTCGTGTCTCAAAATAGACAAAAGCACAATCACTTTTCGGATATTGACAGAACCCAAAAATGGCGGCAATTTTTACGCGGAATTTTTATCGACGGATAACCTTGGAAATTGTCCCAAAACTAACAGTATGAAAATCAATCTGCAGCCCGATGTAGATATTAAAATAATTTGTGCAAACTGTTCTAATGTCATTTCAAAGGATTGCGTCAAATTCGACAGAATCTTGGAGTTGCCAACAACGAATTTAGATATGTCAGAATGGTTTTGTCACGGCCACGGACATGGCAACTCCTCGCAACTTGTTGTTCTGAAACCGAATAAAAATGATTTTCTATACCGTCTGACGTATTTCGTCGTAAACAACAATTTGTTGTCAGAGAAAAGCAATAAATTTAACGGTAAAAGAGACATCTACCACTGCAATAGATGCTTAGCCTGGTTGGGCCTAAAAAATAAGGATACAGTGAAATTGTTCAACTCTGAAGTGAAAATGCAACAGGACAATATCGATTCTCATATATTTTTGCATAATACTCAGAACGCATATGATATAATCATAGATGATTTCATATACACGATCGAATGCATGACCAAAGAATCAAACTTAGGGTTACAGTATTCGGTAATTTGTAAAATAGTTCTGGAATGTTCTATTTCCTCAACAGACAAACAGTACTTACTGATATGGATAATGGACAAAGAACTGCAAGTACTCAGGAACAATGAAGAACACATCGAGGGCGACAAAGTTATTTTACAATCGAGTTTTCTCACAAAGATCTTGTATAAAATCGAGTTGGCAATGAACGAAGAGGTTGAAACATGGCTGTCAGATCCGACAGTCGTGTCCACAGACATATCTAGAAGCATGTTTTGTCGCGGTGTAGAACACTTGCAGCTGATGTCGCAGAAAGTTCCGGAAGCATTTCGTAGCGCTAATGGCTATAGTATCAGTTATTTGAAAGTCTGAATAATAAATTTAATGAAGCAATTGTTGTTTTCTTTTATTTTGATGCACGTTGTGTGCATGGTGCTCATTATTCTTGTAAACAGAAATGGCTAAAAGACACGCACTTGATTGCGTTTCGAGGGACACGTTAAATTAATTGCATTTTTGTATTCTTCATTCATTCATAAAATGTGCCATATTATGCGTGGTAGACCACGCTGCAGCTATATTATGGTTGTAGTACGAATGGGTCGCCTCGATCGGGTATGGACTATGCTGCCACAGAATCGTCATCATCATTACAGCCCTTCACAAGTCGACTGCTGGACAAAGGAATGCCACAAAGCACGGTCTTAAGCCACCTGCATCCACCGACTTTTTGCATGTATTACCAGATCGTCACTCCTAGTGGGGGGCCACCCTACACTTCTCCTACCGGTACGAGGCTACCACACGAGAACATTTTTTCTCCAGCAGTTGTCAGTTCTTCAAACTATATGGCCGGACCATTGCCAATTCAGCTTACTAATCTGTTGGACTATATCCGTTACTCTGGTTCTACTGCAGATATCCTAATTTCTAAGTTTATCACGCAGAGAAAACCCGAGTATTGATCGCTGAGCGACCTTGAACTTTCTCATACGGCCAGCAGTGAAGGACCACGTGTCAGATCCATAAGTCATCACTGGCAACACGCACTGTTGTACAATCTTGTTTTCAAGTTTTGAGGTATACCTGACGAGAAGATGTATCTCACGAACGCTGCCCAGCCAAATTGAATCCATCGATTGATCTCTCGGTTGAAGTTGGACTTACCTAGTTGGACTATTTGTCCCAGGTGCAAGTGGTAAAATTTTTTTTTTACAACCGACCAGCATAAATTATTGTTGATTTTGTAGAAACCGCTCGAAAAAATTTAAATGGGACCCCCTTGGAAGTATAACCTTTGTAACAAAAAAAATTCCAAATCGGTTCTGGCGTCTTCAAGTAATCGGTGAAGAAGAATTACTTGATACGTAATTTGACTTTGTTTGTTTTGATTGCTGTAAAAGAGTGGGGCGGAAATGACACCACCCCACCCTGCTCAAAAGTGCAAAAGCAGTGTTGCCAGGTTGGGGATTTTCCTCTAAATTTAGTGGATTTCAGACGGCTTGGTGGAAATTCTAGGGGAAACTTTTTGGGATTTGTTCAGGGGATTTACAAACTTCCTAAAATTTGAGTTAAAGAAATGAAAGAAGAAATATTAAACTATCAATGACAGTTAAAAACATGCTTATAGATAATTAAAAAAAATGCTAATAATCATTTATTAGATGTTAAGCAACGTCCTCGTCTGAAACTCACAGCGCTCGGTTCGCAAAGCACTGCTCTCCCTGGACATCCAGAAGTCGAGTAGGCCTGACGGAATCCCCCCAATTGTGCTGAGGACGTGTGCTCCGGAGTTGGCACCGGTCCTAACGCGTCTTTTCCGGTACTCCTACTCCCAAGGCGTAGTCCCGAATTCATGGAAGACAGCTTTTGTTCACCCGATCCCTAAAAAAGGCGACCGCTCAGACCCATCCAACTATAGGCCTATCGCGATCACCTCCTTGTTCTCTAAAATAATGGAATCCATTATTAACTGCCAGCTCATCCGGTACCTTGAGGATCACCAGCTGATTAGTGACCGCCAATACGGTTTTCGTCGGGGTCGATCAGCTGGTGATCTTCTGGTCTACCTGACCCATAGATGGGCGGAGGCAGTAGAGTCCAAGGGGGAGGCGTTGGCCGTTAGTCTGGACATTGCGAAGGCCTTCGATCGGGTTTGGCACAAAGCGCTTCTTTCGAAGCTCCCTTCCTATGGGCTTCCCGAGAAATTGTGCAATTGGATCACCAGCTTCCTTGCAGATCGGAGCATCAAGGTTGTTATAGACGGTGCATGCTCTGACTACAAGCCTATTAACGCTGCTGTTCCACAAGGCTGTGTGCTATCACCAACGCTGTTTCTTCTGCATATCAATGACATGTTGCTAACTGGTAACATTAATTGCTATGCGGATGACAGCACTGGTGATGCTCTATACACCGGCCGTGCCAATATTTCTCGGGAAAACGTCGCTGAGTACCGGAACAAACTTGTGTCTGAAGTCGAGTCTTTGCTGAGCAAAGTCTCGGATTGGGGGCGACTAAATCTAGTCCAGTTTAATCCTCAGAAGACACAAGTTTGCGCGTTTACCGCTAAAAAGAACCCCTTTGTCGTATCTCCTCAGTTTCAAGGCACTCCCCTTCGTGCCTCAGCCAGTATCGGTATCCTCGGAGTCGACATATCGAGTGACGTGCAGTTTCGTGGTCACTTGGAAGGGAAGGCCAAATTGGCCTCTAAAAAGCTTGGCGTGCTCAGCAGAGCGGGACAGTATTTCATGCCGGCACACCGCCTGCATCTTTACAAGGCGCAAGTTCGGCCTCACATGGAATACTGTTCCCATCTCTGGGCAGGGGCTCCCCAGTGCCAGCTCCTTCCACTTGACCGCATCCAACGCAGAGCTGCGCGAATCGTCGACGACCGAGCCCTTTCCGATCGGCTCGATTCGTTGGCACTGCGAAGAGATGTTGCATCCCTTTGCATTTTCTTTCGCATCTACCATGGGGAATGCTCTGAGGAATTGTTCGGATTAATCCCAGCCGCCAAATTTCACGAACGCACATCGCGGCAGAACTCCCGATACCATCCACACCATCTGGATGATTGGCGGTCCACCACTGTGCGATTTAGAAGATGTTTTCTTCCTCGCACGACCTCCTTGTGGAATCGATTACCATCAGCGATTTTTCCGGACCGATAAGACTTGGGACCTTCAAGAAAAGAGCGTACTCCTTTTTAAAAGGCCGGCAACGCATCTGCGATTCCCCTGGTGTTGCAGTTGTTCATGGGCGGCGGTAGTCACTTACCATCAGGTGAGCCGCATGCTCGTTTGCTCCCTCTCCTATAAAAAAAAATAAAAAAAAACTAAAAATAGCTCTATTTATATGGTTTTAGTAAATATCACATGAAAAATATTTATTTATTACTTATTACTGTTTATAAATTAAGAAAATTATTTGCTTATTGAAATTAATATTAATGTATTTATTTCAAATTTTTACCGAACGATGATATTTTATATTGAACACAATATGTAGTAATTTTTATAAAAAAATGTTCTAAAATTTATACTTTAAGTTTTTTTTTTAATTTTTCGCATACAAATTTTAATTTTTTTTTAAAATTATTTATTTAAAAAACGGATTCTAAAACTTAACACACGTCTGATAGTTTCAGTCATTTGATTTATTAGGGGATTTTGTTTCAATCTACTACCGATCTTGCCGCCGATTTACCATGTAACGGCGGTGTAAGAACGGGGTAGTTATACCCCATATCGACCCTTGGAGAGGCGACAGAGGGAAATTGAAACAGATGGTAGGCATTTTCCTAATAACAACTCAAACTAATAAAAAAACTGCGGTTGACGACACTCTATCTATGAGAGAGGCCTATCTTCAGCAGTGGACTTTCATAGGCTGTAATGGATGGGTGTACAGAAGATAATCTACCTATCTAGGAGCACATGACCCACTGAGATGTCAAATTTTGAAATCAACTGTAACATTACAACTATGGCAAATACCCCCACTATGAGGCAATCTATGGGGAACGCCTATGTTCAGCAGTGGACTTTCATAGGTTGTAATGGATGGATGTACAGGAGATAATCTACCAGGAGCACATGACCCACTGAGAGGTCAAAGTTTCAAATCAACAGTAACATTACAACTATGGCAAATACCCCCACTATGAGGGAATCTATGGGGAAGGCCTATGTTCAGCAGTGGACTTGTCAAGGGCTGTAATAATAATAATAATATTTTTTATGTATTTATACTATTTTATTGATATTTATGTATATTTATATATTTCGTTTATAATTATATATTTAAACAGCCCAACAAGATGAGAAAACTTCATAGATAACCCCAATAATAATGAATAATACACGAGTCACGAACTCACCCGATCGACTTCCTGCATATCTTACCAGATCGTCACTCCATCTAGTGGGGGAACGCCCTACACTTCGTCCGCCGGTACGAGGCCGCCACTCGAGAACCTTTTTTCCCCAACGGTTGTCGGTTCTTCGAGCTACATGGCCGGCCCATTGCCACTTCAGCTTACTAATCCGTTGGGCTATGTCGGTCACTCACTCTATTATTCATAATTATACAAAAATGAAAACAGAAACTTTCTTATTCAATGTAGATTATAAATAATACTTATAAAGTCACTCCTTCGTTTAATTACCACTGGTTCGAAAAAAACCTCTGTCCTTGGAAGAACCAGCAAGAAACCAAGCGGGAATTTTTTTCTAAATAACATCTTACAGTCAGAGACGTAGCATGGACTAATATAAACGTGGGCGAAGTTGCATCAGGGAGCCCCCTTTTCTTCGTTCCAAGGATGTACCTAATAGATCTATCCTACCAAACATAACTTGACACAGCATACCTACTTATATCTATTAATTCCTGATAAGTCTTGTATTCCGTCAATGTAACGTCGCGGTCTTTGAAGGTAGTTACAATGGCCTCACACCTAAGAGGGGCTTCTTGCGAGGCCCCAAACAAACACTTAAATTTGTGGCTTTCTTTTTTGAGCTTAAAAGTGATAAAATTAATTAGTCATCTATGGTAAAGGGCATCGCATTATTGGGGGCCTCGCGAGGCCCCTTTAAGTGCGAGGCCGTGGGCGAGGACCCACTTCGCCCACGCCTAGCTACGACACTGCTTACAATCATGAATGTTAAACTGTAACACAAAACAGATTAGAAATAGCTTTTTTTTATAGGAGAGGGGGCAAACGAGCATGCGGCTCACCTGATGGTAAGTGACTACCGCCGCCCATGAACACCAGGGAGGGAATTGCAGATGCGTTGCCGGCCTATTAAAAAGGAGTACGCTCTTTTCTTGAAGGTCCCTAAGTCGTATCGGTCCGGAAAAATCGCTGATGGTAATCGATTCCACAAG